TCCGCTGTTTACCACCAATCAAATTTATAATATAGTCTAGTGCAGCAGAGAGTTAATGGTAAAAATACATTGAATATCAGAGGGTAATTTCAGCAAATAAATTTTCAATTACCTGCTAACTCAAGATAATAGTATCGTCTGATTGAGGAAATGACTCTTTTTTTTTTTTTTCAAAAGGATAAAAAAATGTTTCAAACGGATGCAAAGTGGGTAGATAATCTCAAGTGGAAAATGCTACATCCTTATCATCTCTTCTTTATCCTTGCTCATTTGCATGCCTTGTTTCCTTGGTTACAATTGTGATTTTTAAGTTTGTCTCCTTTGAAATGTCATCTCTGCCTCATTTGAATATTTGGTTTCCTAGGTAACTGATAAGAGGATGTGTGATGTTACAGCCAAGATGAATGAGATTGTCAATATTTGATGATGTTTTAAACCTAACTGCTTTTTTTCATAATTCAACAAACATCACTCATTCCTTGTCTTTGCCCAGGTTAATAATTATGAGAAAACTAAGGAGCTTCATTAATTACCTCTTAATGACCACTTCGTTAAAACAGCTAATTTGCATAATTAAACTAGCATTACATGAATAGCACAACAGAAGTTATTTGGGTATGCCAATTAGCCTTCACATTATAGTTGTCAGTCTGAAAATAACAAAAGAAAATCTTGAGGTATTTCTCCATAATAAAAAGGCGATATTTTTTTCTTAAAATCTGATAGAACAGGCACACAGGCAAAAATGATATTTGTCTTTGTCATTTTAGGAATATTATTGTGCTGTTCGTTTCACGTGGATACACTTAACCCGTGCACTGTTACTCAGTGGGACATGTATCAACGCAGAAAAGATATTATTTTTATGACAAATTTGACTTTACGACGTCTGTACTGGCTAAATTCATGATATCCATTTAATTCTTTCTGTCACTTCTGAGAACAGTTAAAAAAAAACATTTTCCTCAGCATAGCTGTGATTTAACCACACTTTGCTAGACCATTTGAAAACTGGAAACACTTAAAACTACAATTGTTAGTACATGTAGTTGTATTCAGTAGTAAGGACACAAGAATTCACCGTATTCACAGAAGATTTAGTAATGTTTTAGGATCTTTCTTTTTTATCTTCACTATTTTTTTTTTGGTAAATTCAAACTGATTTTTGATGTTCTGTTCTGAAGACAGTGTAGTACAAGAAGCAGTATTGGAAATGTGCCAAATTGGGGGAAAATTTACACCCAAAGTTCAAATACAACTCTCAAATCAATATTAGTGAAATTCATACCCAATAGATCACTTTGACGTACGATAAAATGAATAAAAAAATTGGGAAAATTTGAGTACTTATCTTAATAGTATGAACAAAAATACGATTTTCTCGTGTTTCAAAATTTTAAAAATTACTCAATCTAGATCTTTAAAATTTTGAGTGCCAAAGTTGAATTTGGTCACCATTAAATCACATCATTTTTTTTTTTCTTATTTTTTTCAAAACTTTGGTCAAGATCTATCAGCAATGAGATATTACGTATGTTCCGTCAAAAAGGCATAAAGAAATTATAGAAAATTACATAAAAATATGCCATAAAATAAATTCTTGCCACTCAAAACATTAGGTTTTGTGAAAATGTAGAATCTACCTGATGAGGATGTTCTAGCATTTCTTCATCTTTTTGAGGGGTTTCCATGGATACAGACAGATGAGATTGACAGTATAGAAGAGTAACTTAAGCTCAAGATAACACACATGAACACACAGAATAAGTCGGCCCAGGAAGGGTAAAAAAAAAAAAAACATGAAAAATTCATTACCAAAGATAAGGAGGCCTGTCTCGTCAAGGCCGGGTAAAGATAAGATGAAATCCTTTGCATTTTCAAACTATCGTGTATATTTAAGTTGTAGCATTTACTATGTGACACCTGCATATAGTGTAATCCGTTCTAGGGTCCTCACTGACAACAAAAGATCATACACCCTATGTCAGATATAATCTACGCCCAACTTTAATATAAATATATTCCCACTTTGTAAATATTCAAAACATCGCTCTCAGAAAAAGCTAAAAACATAAAATATGTTTTAGCTCACAAATATTGTAAACAAATCTAGCTTAATTTAGGAGACCCACATATATTGATAATCTGCAATTATTTCTTATTTACTTATCTCAACGTTTGATGGTGCACATGTATTTATTGCGCAGGGGATGGTACTATATAGATTTGCAAAGTGAAAAGGCTGTTTTAACATGATATTGTTGTATTAAAGCATGAAAACCTGATAATGTTTAAATTTACATAACATTGCAATTGGAATCGCAGTCAGTATACCGATCGCTGATACCATACATCTTGAATAATACCCTGGGAACTGTTATAGAATATTAACTTTATCCACTTTTTGTTTCATTAAAAGAAAGTTATTGACTCTTGTCATACATAAACACCAAAAGTGTGTTTCTGATAATTTTAATAACAGTTTGTAAATTGATACAGTACTCACTGCAAGATGATGGCTTATTAATTTCTTAATTAACTTGTGTCGTCCATTGCTATCAAAATGCTGTTTAATGCTCTTTATGCCGTTTAGACCATTATGTTGACAAGCTTTGTCTGCGTTTTCTTTTCATATATGTGACTCATCTGTGCTGCAAGACATGTCAGTTCTTTGTTCTGTCCTTTCTAAGAACATTGGAGTCGTAATCCTAACACTTATCTCATACACAGATGCGTGTGATGACGGCGTATTTGTGAGTTTGTCTAAATAGTTGATTATTTTTATTTCTCATGCTGTGTTCATCTTACATCAGCTATAGTGTTAGTGATGTATATTTGCTGGATATGGGACCCATGTTACACCAGTTAAAAATGAAATAATTCAACCTATCCGAAATTGTAATTATTGCGAAATATATCGCCCCTTTTTCACTCCTATATGCATATGTATATGTATGTATGTATGTATGTATGTTTGTTTGTTTGTTTGTTTGTTTGTTAATTTGCATAAGTTAGGCAATTTTCTGGTATTTCAGAATACACTCGTGATTTGAAACCAGATTTGAATGAAACTTGTTAATAGGTGCTCTTAGATAAACCACATACTGCAAATCACAGATTTATCCGTTTTGTTAAATATTTCTGTTAGTATTATTAACTTCAGTTCTGTGGATTATTTTGCATTGGGCATCTCAACAAGCAGAGTTTTATTACTTCGGTAGCTGTCATGATTCTTGTTTAAAATCTGTAAGTGCCTTCGGTACAAGTTTTTTCTAAGCTTACTTTAATTTTTCAGGATATACTTTGGACCACACGATGGCCCCCAGCAATGCGTTCACATTTTGTATGAACTAACGTTGCATTTTCAATGCGTTGTTTACATCGCTTATGTATCCATATCAAACATGATGTAGCACTACAACCAATATCCTTTAAATAGGCTGCCTAGGGGGTCATACAAACTTGTGGCAGGGAAAGTTATTAACGATGTGTTACTTCAACTTTACTTCTTTCTTTTTATTCATTAAAAATTTTCTTTCAAATATTAATATATACGATTGAAATCATGAAACTTTTTGTCAATTTCTTTTAATACTCGCCAGGGCAACTATAAGCAAGTAATTACAATTCACACAAATACTTGCGTTTGCCCTGTAGGTTTTGTTGAATAATTTAAATGGCCTGATAGCACTCAATTAATTTTTGCATACATGTGGTTACGAATATGTATTGCATGATTGAGGTTTATGTTTTGTCTTGTGTAAGAGGTATGCTAGGTTACCAGTGTTGCCAATCATATGTATTCACATGTACAGTTCTATTTGGCATAATTACATACATCTTCTGAAACTTTTAATGCCTTAGAGATGTAATCTAGTAGAGACATTCTCATTGGATACTTTTTGAAATATTACCCAATCAAGTTGTGTTCTTTATCTGCAGAAATATAAATAATCTAGTAGAGACATTCTCATTGGATACTTTTTGAAATATTACCCAATCAAGTTGTGTTCTTTATCTGCAGAAATATAAATAATCTAGTAGAGACATTCTCATTGGATACTCTTTGAAATATTACCCAATCATGTTGTGTCTTTCATCTACAGAAATATAAATAATCTAGTAGAGACTTTCTCATTGAATACTTTTTGAAATATTACCCAATCATGTTGTGCTTTTTATCTACAGAAATATAAACACCTGCAAACTGAATCATGGGTGTCCGCAAGTTTTTTCTTTTTGGAATGAATGATTTTTTGTCTGTATTAAAAGCAATTAGTCAATAGACATATTTCATCAGTAAATTAAAGAGCAGTGGTAGACATGCTGCATCATGTTCAGTGTGGGTCCCATGCTAAAATTAAATGTGTTTAAAATACATTGTTTGTAGAAATTTTACGACCACCACCCTTTATTAAAGTAAACAGTGAGAAGTGGATGATACAGCGACTAAAAACTTTAATTCTTTCGTCTCTGTGCTACACTAGCAAGGCATTCACTAGCTACCCGATATAGTTTCAAAAACACCTGATAGCATTCTATTTTTGTACTCCAGTCTTACTTGATGTGAATCCAGAATTTATTATTACACATGGGTTGTATGCACAAGAAATCATGCGGCTCGACAGTTTGTGGAGCGTTATGTATGAACCTGTCAATGTGTCATTTGCGTTCCTGACAGGGTATCAGTCACGTTATCAGTCTTGCCAATATGCCTGTAGCTAGTATGTAAATGAGCTGCTCATTTATTATGCGTAGATATTTCTATAAATAGTCCTTGTTGATCATTGGACTTTAACATGCAAACACACATAATGCTTGTTTAGTTCGTTAGTTGGTCATAATTACAGACAATAAATTCAAAGATTGTCTTTAATTGTCATTTTAATTACCCCGATGCCATTCACTAACGACATTTAATGAAGTCAGTGGAATTCTGAATTCCCCAAACGAGTTCTTTCTAATTATATTTATTTATTTTCTGTCTCTGATTGTTGCAGATAGCCGGTCTTACGGGAGGTGTGGCGATGTAGATTGATCTGTCATTGGGTGAAAAACAACAAGATTTGAAGCGTAGCAATGAGAAAAACGTACACACACCAAATCAGTATTCTATGTTCATCAATGCTTTGAAACAAGCTAAGCTCTACATATCATCTGTGTGTCCTCGGCTCAGGTGATGAGTTGCCATGACTACTGACGATGCATCAATACTATGTAAAATGAAAATTTTGTATCCTCTCTGTGTATTTTCTCCCTCTCATTTTTGTCCCGTGATATATTCAATTCTCCGGGCAACTGCAGCAGTCGGCAACTGGAACACATCAATTTATTCCATCACCATAGCAACCAGCCAAAGAGATTATTCCATGGTTTAGGGCATTGTTTTTCTTTTGAACTGCACTCATGGGACAGGAATTAGCTCTCTGCAGTCGTTGAAAGCTAATCAAAACTCCTGTCAGCGACAGAACCCAAATTCAAATGGCAGTTCTGGATAAAATAAAGAAAAGATAGATGCAGAATTGGTCATGGGTATTAATATTCTAGTCATTTTGCACAGTGTAGTGCTATCTATATTGAACAGCAGTTAAGCAGACCCCCTAGGTTGCTGCTAATTGACCCAAGCTGAGATGTTTAACCTGCATGTGAGTCAGCTTAATGGTATGTTTTTATTGGTGTCATTTTTTTTGCGACAAAAATACTCGTTGAATTCATGTGAAACTGGCAAATATTTCTTCAGTGAAAAGATGTTATCTCTCGTAAAACAAAAACTATAATTATTTTTGTGCATATTATATGTCAATGAAATCTCTGGGTGATAATTTGGTCTAAATTTATCGACAACAGTTGAGCGGTAATACATATATATTGTGTTTTAGATGAGACAAAAACACTCCTGAGATCTGGGACTTCCTAATCCTTGTTTGATGACTGTTACCTTAACATTTTCACCTCTAGACTTTCTCGCCCAAAATTTGCTGCACTTTCTTTTTAATATTATTCAATATTTCTGGTAATGAATCCTATTTTTTAAGCCAACAGACGAAATTTGAGTTGATTTTCAGTTGTTACTGAAAAATTTGGCTATTTGTGTTCCCAAGAAAAGTGCAGACTATAAAATTGGACTATTTTGTGAATTTGTGATGAAAAAAGGGAACTGGTGGTGAAAAGGTTAAATTTAAAGGTTTTTTTTTCATATTTTGTTTTTAATATGGGTGGAAGTGAAGTGCATCTATATGCTTAAATGATCTGTTTCATATCCGAACTGCTTGGCGGACTGGGTCTGTATCTTGGTTAATATTTAGTTCATTTATGTGAATCCATAGAAATCTGTTTTGTTTTTTGAGGGGTGGGATGGTGGTTGTGAAATAAAAAAATTTTTGGTGCAAAGAAACGTCTGTTGTCTTTTATTGAACCCTTATCTCAAACAAGTCTGTAAGGAGAAAACTTACTTCACAGGCTATATATATAGACCAATGGAAAGGAATACAAATTTTAAGCCATTATTCAGTGATTCTGTCCCAGGGATAGTTATCCTGGCACTTAGAAGACACATTTCAAGTAGTTTATTCAAGATAAAAAACACAATCTTAAGTTTATAAACTATTTCCTTTGTAACAATAATGCTCAATTGAAAATGTTAACAACCTAAATTTTTCATATTGTCTGTGATCTGAAATCTACAAGTAGCCGAAATGAGTGGGAAGAACAGGTGTCAACAGGCGAGGTATCATGTAGTATGCTCTCATTTTGGAAAACGAAACAACTGGATCAACAAACAGCCTTGGAAGCAGGAATGCATGAATGTTTATCAAAAACAGTGTTATTCTATCCCATTCCTGAATTATTTATTTCCTGAAAAGTGATTGATCTTTTTTCATTATTGGCGATTTTTCCAGAGGACTAACCCTTCGATTAGCGCTATTGACCTGCAATGGTGTTTCAGGCACATGGTCAGCAACACAGATTTTTTTTTTCCATTCTAGCAACACTTGCTTGGGTTCTGTATTATTTTTGTTTTATTAAATTCAGTATACCAGCTGATGCACAGAAGATTGATATTTCTAACCCAGGCTGTGTTACGCCTACTATTAATGTACAATAGTTCAGATTTCAGTTTTCTTTTTCAATCAAGCTTTTCAACCAATTTTGTAGTGACTCATTTTTTTTTTGGAATAATAATTTTGATATAAAACCATATTATGAATCATGATTTTGATCTCTTATAGTTGCCTTCTCAATCTGTAATAAGAATAACGAATACTAGTTTATTTATCATTTCTGAGTGACTTAGTTTGATTTCTGCGACTGATTTTAGAAAATCTGAACATATAGGCTTTTTTTTGCCTTACACAATGTATATTGGTTTGTTTACATACC